CCCCCCCCCAGGAACAGTCCTGGCACACATTTTTGTTAGAGGTTGAGTCGAACCCAGGGCCATAGTACGGCTGGAAAGATTAGGTGAACTGTAAAATTCAGTGACCTCATCGGGATTCTACCTCGCGACCTTCAGTATTGTAGCACAGTGTCTCAACCAAATAGGCTACCGCGTGCCCCGATGAATGCCAATAGAATGGAGAAATAAAAAGTATGCGAGAGGAATACGGAAACGGAGGGAAAAGGAAATAGAAAGGCACAAAAGAGCACAGAGAAGGAATTTATATAAGCAGTTCACCTTACGTAACAACTGGAGATATTTCGCATTGAATTTCCATGGGATACTGAGTTTGTAACTCCAGGCAAACCTCGGTTCTCCGAACAGTATCACCAGCATCACATCCCAACTGGCAACTCCCAAAATTACACACTTTACTGCAGCATAAACGCATGTGAAACACAGTATTACGTGTTAACTGTCCTGCATCTTTAAGTGGAGAGAGATGCAACCCGGTTGCAGTTCTCATAGCCAGACGCGTAGTCGAACGTTCCAGGGTACCAGTAATACAGAATGTGTCTAGAAATCTTCAGGACAAATAACTACACTAATAATTGTAATTCTTTTGCTTTAAATCTAGTAATTCGAATGATTCAAGGATTCGAACACGTTTTAAATTCTTTTCCTTATAGGGGTGGGAATAAGTCCATTTGGTACTGCGGCCACTTCTGGCCTATTTTACCAGTCTCAGATGATAGGTGAGGGTGATTGTGGAAGAATTGGTGGAATGAAGTTTGTCTGAGGAATCCGAAATACTCGGAGAAAATCTGCCCCAGAGCCACTTTGTCCACCACAAATCCCACCTGACCACATCCGGCATCGAACACGGGCCACGGGATGCCAGCGACTAACATCTTCGGATATGACACGGCCTATGTTTTAATTAATTCTTATTTTCGAGGTTTTACTGTATAGAAAAACACAACGCATCATAAAACAGTTCGTAATTATGACGAAAAATTTCTTAATCTGTTCACAGAGCATTAGTCCAGGAGCGGTTAAGACGGAAATAGCTGAAGCATCAGGCGTTCCGAAGGAGATTCTGGAACAGTATAAGGATAACCCGATCATGGAAGCTAAGGACATCGCCGATTCGGTGATGTATGTTCTCGGAACTCCACCACATGTACAGGTAAGAGTATGAACCTTCATAACAAATAGCTCAGGTTTAAACAAAAGCTTACCACCTCAACAGTTTTGGGTCTGGGTCTGATGACTGGTTTGGTTACATTAATACACAAGAATCTCCGGATATTTAGGCATCTACAAATTGGTGACTGCTCACATGATGATGGTGATAACACTAACTGCAACAC